TTTTTTTTTTTTTTTTTTTCAACTCTAACCATTTCTATTCCAATTTTCAGATTTCCAATTCCAATTAATCTCAACCATCCATCTTTAAATTGAAACCTAAGATCAAATCCTAACCCTTCATCCGAATCAATCCAAAGGTCCATATTCGATCTCATCTCTTTCCTATTTTATTTTAATCAAAATACCCTCAAACCCTAAAAGGATGTTTTTGAATCTCTTCTTCTTTCTCCCTGACTCTAGCGCTTCTCCTCCATACGCTTTCTGCCTCCATTTTTTCGCCGGCGAGGCTGGCCACCATGCTGTCCGATGGCAGCCCCCTCTCGCTCCTCCCCTAGTTTTCCTCTTCCCTTTTCCCCTCTTCTCTCCTCTTTCCCAGCAGCAGCGCAGCAGCTCCAAGCAGAGAGCCACCGCGAGAACAGCAGTCCAGCGAGGAGCAGCAGTAACCAGCGACCGGCGAGCCACCAGGCCGCAGTTGCCGGCGAAACAGCAGCTACAGCAGTGCATGGCGAGGCGCACGACAGCAGCAACGAACCAACCTCCAGCAGCTCCGGCAACAACAACACCAAGCAGCTGCCAGCAACACCAGACATCAACACCAGCGACCAGCAACTCCGAGAACAGCACCTCCCTCCGCCTCTTTCTTTTTCGGCCAAGAACCAAAGTAAATATTGAGTATGATAAGGAAGGATCTTACGGATCTGTCCCAGGTACGTTTTCCCTTTTTAAGCTTAAATTTTTTATGCATGTCAGTATGAAGATGCAATCTATAGGTCGTTTGGCTCACTGTTCTTTAAGATTTCGAATTTAATTGTATGCCGGTTGTTTGTTCTTAAATTAGTATCCTTCCGCTCAATCGCGGTATATACATTGTTCTTTCTCTTTCTCTTTAATAATGTGGTCACCATTTGCTAGTGAAAGAACTGTGAAGTAAGACTAATTGTATGCATTAAAATCAATGGTTTCTTATTTGATTATGAGCTGGATTTCTTGACTCGTTTTGGGTGATGATATTGTGATATTTGATTATCCTTAATTATCTCTAAACTGATTATGATTCCTCTTAAACCAATTTGTGTATTTCTTTTATTAATCGGACTGTGATTTAGGCTTCTTCAATTAATTGTGGCTATTGGATTTGACTATACATAGGTGGTGATATGAGTGATTGCTTCGCCTTCCATCTATTTTCTTGTTTTAACAATATTCAGACTCTCAATTTATTTTGGTGACATAATTATTTATTTGATTGTGGACATCTTTCCTCATAATTTGAAAAGTTAGTAATTCATTAATTATGGTAATTAGCATATCACTGGCATGTTTAGCATGATTAGTATCCATGTTGTTAGTGATTATTTATGGTAAAAATAGCATATCAATTATTTTCTTTTCCTATTTAACTTTAGATAGATTCGTGCATTTTTACTTTTTGAAAAGTTGAGTTATTTTCTTGTTTTGATTGGCTACTTTTTACTTATACAAGGAAATAATATTTTGTAATGGTAAGTTGAAATTGCTTAATTTTAGCTAATTCTTTGTGACTACGTTAAAGCTTTGGTAAAATATTTGTCCATATTTGGGAGGAGATCTCCATTAATTGTGTACCTAATTGGCTCTAATGACTGTTTTCCTTACTGTGGTGCCCTCCCATTTTACTATAAATTAAGGCTTCTTTTTCACTCAAGAGAGGATCTAGACACATTTTTACCACTCATGGTTTTACACTCTCATAGTCTACAGTCTCTTACACTCTAAAACTTTCGGACATTGGCTTACATTCTGAAAAAATACTAAACATATATATTGCTCTCTACTCTGAAAAAGAATTAAGTTCTTTCGGTTCTAAAAAAAAAACTTCAAAGTTCCTCTCTATTTTGTTGTTTTGCTGTGTTCGGGTCTAGTATCAGAATAAGTTTGGCCTTCATTGCTGATTAATAAATCTGCATAATTGGTTAGCTCTCTTTTCCATTAGTTTAAAATTTTCGTCTTGCATCATCTATTCTGAATATTTTCTTATGTTTGAAATAAATAAAGGAAGCATACGGGTCAGTTCTCGTTTCCTTTCTTGATATGTGTGAATATATATATGTGTTTTCATATTTGTTGTGTTGTTTGATTTAATGTGTGTCCCTTTTGCTTGTATATCTCAAAATAAATGATATTATGTGTCTTTGGCATTCTACTTGTGTTTGTATCTTTTGTTATCCTTAAGCAGGTTTGAACACAAGTTCAAGATATGGAGAGTCGCCATGAGAGAGAAGCACTAGACAAGCTAAATTTATTTAATTTGAGTTTTATATATTATTTAATCTTTCTCATTGTTTTGTAATAATTTGTAAACTTTAACTCTCTACATATGATATAATTTGGGGAATCTCATCTAAGGGGGAAGGGATCTATGTGCTACTTGTTTATTTTATCGTAACCTATTTGTGCTAGAAAGTAGGTCTATAGGATTGCTGATTGTGTGATTGTTCGCCTCTTAATAGCTCTGTTTGAATCTAGCCTAAAAAAATAAAATTAACCTTTTGTCATTTATCACCTATTTAAGCTTTGTCTGATTATGCTTAAAATTAAACATGTTGAGATAATTTGACTACTCATTGTAATATGTTTATATGATTTGCATATCCGCCTTTTATTCTTAACAATGAATAATGTTTGTTCCTTGCATTATCTGGCTCACTATCAACCCCATTATATAATAAATAAATAAGCATTAATATTTTAACAACTTGTTCGTATCAAATTGGTTTTCTTTTACCATTTGTAGATATCATCCTCGTGGTATTTAATTAAATTTGCAGCATGTTAATGGGTTAGAACTTCATGCATATAGGCTTAAATTTTGGTATTACCTACAAAGCATGTCTATTGGTTTTTCAATAGTTAGGTTATCTTTATATAGAATTCATGCTCTTGAGTAAGATTAGAATTTATGTTGTCCGGTTATAATGTTGTGTGATATAAATGCGTTTTTCCATTTAGATGACTGCTTGTAGGATTTTTAATAATCTAATAATTGTGAACAAATCAGTCGGTTTATTCTGTCAGCATGTTAACCTATCTAAAAGCCATGTCTTTAGGTTTTGATTAATATTAGCATGTCAATAAAATGTTTAGAAATGCATAAATCCAAGCCACCATAAAGTTATGCCTATAGGACTAGATAAAATTAATTTCCAGCATGTTAAAAGTTCCCTTGCAGATTTTCTTCCCGCTGCTTGATAGATTCTGTGACATTATTCTCTGCATATTCAAATTTAAAATCTACCCCCATATTAGATAAATTCCCAGACGCAGTCAAGCTCCGTTTTAAATATTAACTTGCATTATACCTATTACATTTGCTATTCTAATCAAAATCAGCTAATAAATCTATCTTTGCTATAATGATTACGCCACTCTTAAAAGTCAGTTAAGTTGCTTAAATGCTTTTTGCATGGTGATAACTTTACTTCTTCATTAAAATATTATATCGTATAATGGCTATTTATCTATTTTTATGCTCACACACTCGCATGCGACCTTTCATATTACTTGTGTTTGCCAGCGTGTTTAATAAAATCTAGAGGCCAATATGAGACCTTGCGTGCTAAATGTTTGTCCAACTTGTTTGACTTAGTGTCCAGGTGGGCCTATTAGGAGTTTATTTCAGTCTTAACCCTTCCTAATAGTAGTCCAATGCCTCTTGGATCTTAAGTGGGGACGTTAGGCACCTTTTAGAGACGAAATGCATGCGGTGGTGGGGTAGGGGTAGTTTAGGCCCTATGGAGATGATGACATCGACTCAGGCTTAAAGAGACAAACCTTGGTTTTGTCTGTCCCTACACGAAAGCTTATTGAAACGTTAAAGAAAAAAGTCGAGTGCTGATCCATAAAGTCCTACAGAATCTCCCTTTCCTTCTCCTTTTTATATGTTTATAATAATTATATTTATTTGGGGTAGTTTAATTAAAATAAAAATGATATTTGCTTATATACTTGTCTACTTTCTATCTTCTAACTACTTCTTTTAAAATTTTATCTGTGCGAATTATTTAGTCTTATGTTATCATCTAGTTTTTGCATGCTTAATTAATTAAATTAATAAATGAGTCGATCTTAATTGTTTAATATTAGTTATCACTTAGCAAGCATGTTTAATAAATAACCAAATAATGAAGTGACCTTAATTGCTACTTGTAACCCCCACATAAATTGCATGAGATACGGTCGGGACCCACATTTGTGGACCTCGAGGGATGCCTAACACCTTCCCCTCGAGGTAATTTGAACCCTTACCCTGATCTCTGGTTCGTTGACCTTAGCTAGACTTAGTTAGGTTAGATAGGTGCCCTAACGTGCCTTAATTCGTTAGGTGACGACTCTTCAATCCTCCGAATCCCAAAAGAGTTGTTAGGTCGTGCATCCGAAAGAAAAGTCCGCTTTGAGAAAAATAGGGTGCGACAATGGCCATCTAATAATAATCTTCGAATCAAAAGTAGGGTCACAACCTTTTACAATAGAAAGTCTAAAGAGAGTCTATTACAATGAAAGACATGGAACATCAAAAGTACGTTTCCTCGAAATCATGAGGACATACCACTAGCCTTGGAAGACTCAATCCAAGCTTGAACTAGAAGAACTCAACTCACTTGCTGGAACCTACACTTTTTTAAAAATGAATAAATATGGGTTAGCACTTTTAATGTACTAAGTATGATAGCCATGCAAAAGTCATGCTTTAAAACAGACATTTGGTTTGAAAGTCATGCATTATGCCAATTTGAGAAATATCATGAACTTTTGCATAAAAGGCATAAGATACAACATAATCAACATACAAGTCATTTAATCACATTAGAGCTTTCACCTCAAGTAACCCCAAGCTATACTTTGTGCAATGTATGAATAGCGTCCCATACCACCACCCACACTAAGTACCACATTAAGGCTACCAAAAGTGAACTTACCATTCTTCCTTTTCATCAATAGACAATACTCATACATAAGGAACATAAACATTTCATAAGTCATTAGAATACATTAGGACAGTCATCTGGGGCAACTCTAAGTCATACTTGTGCAATGTATGAATAGCATCCCATACTACTACTCACACTAAGTACTCCTTTGAAGCCCCCATAGACAAGGAACATTCATATTCAATAAGTCATGACACAGAAGTAACTCATAATACATTCAGAGTAAAGCATGCATCATAACATTAAGCATTTAAGTCAACATTATTCATTAGCTTCATTAAGAGCACTTTCATTCATTAGTCATTAAGACATAAGTGAACACACCATGACTACTCTTAAAGCCTACTTGTGCAATGCATGGATGAAATCCCATACTACCACCCACATTAAGTAGTGCATTCTTGAGAAGCCATAGTTCATTAACATTCTTTGTGGGGGTAATCCTTAACCGACATAGACCATGTGAGCAATTCATGGAATCCCGGTGTAACCCTCATCAGATAAGGGATTCCTACTTGGCTAAGTAACGTTGCTTTTTAGCTTAAGTGGATCCACTAGCTAATAAACCTATATGGGGACATAGTTATGGGATATGGAGATTGCTAATAGATACGTCGCCTCAACTCACGGAAGAGGATACATATATAGAGATTGATACTAGATACCCCGCCTCAACTCACGGATGCACATCCATCTCAATTCATATCCACTCGGTGCTTAGCATTATGCCCCACGGAGTACTTGACATTCATTACTTTGGTTCCCTATTGTGGAATACGAGATTGCTACTAGATACCCCACCTCAACTTATGGATGAGTATCCATCTCAAACCCAACATTCATTTATTAGATAACTCATAGATTCAAATATGAGAATAGCATTTGAACTAAGAATCTCCCTGTTGTGAGAAATTCCTTTCAAAACATGTCATTATCATTCATTAGTGTACAATTGAGAATAGCCGTTCAATCAACACATCATCATTATCATAATCATACAAACTTCATTCATTATTCATTCATGAGTGTGTGTATGTGAGAATAACCTTTCACATATATCATCATCATTCATAAGTCTTAAATTGAGAACATGCTTTCAATAATAACACAATTACATTCTAAACATGATAATAACACGTTCATTGAGATCACACACATATACTTCACATCATGATCCTACATAGATCATTCATGAAATTTCCCTCCGAGGCTATAAATCATTATCAACCCAAACATATAGAATACCTCATTAGATAAGGGAATTAACACGATTGAATAAATAATTCAATATAAACATAACAATTAAACAAACTTTCATGATTAATCAATTCCCAATCACAATTCACAACTTAGGATTTTGGGGAAAACATGGGTTCATAGAGTAAATTCACCATAATTCATCATTAATTCAACAATCCATTCATAATTCATCACATTTAAACCTTGAAAACGTTTTGGAATTGAACCCATGCATAGATTGAAAACCCTAGGTTTTTGGGGGATTTTGGAAACTTGAAATCATATTTTGATAGGGCTCCTTGAATGAAAATTAATCAAGGATGAAGACTATCAGACCTTTATGGAAGAGACTCCACGAAAATTTAGAGTGAAAGGTGAGATCTTGAGCTTCAAAGCTTGACTCTTTCTTCTCCAATGGTGTTTTCTAGAGAGAGAATATTTGGAGAGAGTGGGAGGTTTCTATTTTGTGATTTGAAGTAATGAATTGAAAAAGTGTCTTTAATACCTTTAAAAGCCTTAAAATACTTTAATTACTCCAATTTACCAAAAGACCCTTACCTTGGCCGAGTCCAAGAAAGATTGCAGGTGTTACGTACGAACCCCCACCCACAGACCATGGGTGGGTCCACGGGCCGTACTGGCACATTGTGGTTCGTGGCTGCAACTTGGATTTTGGGACCTTGACCCACGATGGCCATCCACGGTGGATGGATTGACCTACGGAGTGTAGGTCCCATCCGTAGCTCACATGATTTTTTTGGCAGCTTTTTGGTTCTTTGGGGTCTTGGGGGTTAGGCTTTAGGGTCCTCCTCAAGGACCCTTGATTGGTCCTTGGGGAGTTGTACCTTAATGTTTAACCCCTAAACCCCTCAACCAAATCTCAGGAACTCATTCTACACATTCAAACCTCATATTAAACTCAAAAACAAACTCGTTAGGCTCTAGTTTCTACCTATTCATTTTCCGGGTCGTTACATTATCTCCCCCTTAGGAACATTCATTCTCGAATGACACTTTAAACACTGTAAGGAAATTAAGACTCAAGACTAGCAGCCCATCATACATGCAACATCATAATTAATGCACAAAACTAGGAGGAAACATCAACTCCATCTCAAACATACTCAATGCAACACAAGAAAGTAGGAACTATATCTACAAACTCATTATGCATGAAAACTTCCGCATTCCTCATTTCATTGGAGGAATTACCTTCTCCAACTCAAATCATGCTCATCATGACATAATTAGGTACATTATGCAATTTCTCTCAAAACCATATTTATTCATGTTCAACAATTTACCTCATGAAGCATATAGGCAACTCTTACTAAATGCACATCAACATGAGGAACATAATTCATAAAAACTCATTCTTCTCATTTAGACATGAATTCATCAAGAACATGCATATCATAAGGAGATCATGGAAACACATAATCACACATGACTCTGAAACATAAAACAAGATACAAGGAAATCTTGGTCTCAAGCTTGAATTGGAATAGAAGGAAAGAGATAAAGATATCAACACTCTCAATAACCTTTCTATTTAACAAACCATATCTCCGTTAGAAGTAAACCCTTACTAAGGCTAACATAGAAATAACATAGGGACCCTAACAAGATATTCAAAACTATAATAAACAATCACTTACCGGTGCCCTCATCCGGAAGATATCATTTGCCCTCTTTAGCTTGAAGCACATAGAAACGATTTTTCCTTGGAGAATTAGGATCCGGGTCATCAAGAGAAGTTTGTTTGGCCTCTCATCCTTTGGCCGAGAGTGTTGGGCAATCTCTTATCTTATGACCCTTCTTTCCACACCCAAAGCAACCATCTGTGCCGGCAAGACACTTACCCAAATGTTGCTTCCCACACTTGGCACATATAGATCATTCAAAAGAAGATCCGCCTCCATTTTCTCCTTGAGAGTTAGGGTTAGACACCCAATCCTTATTGACCATAGGGGAATCTTGGTCGTAGGATGTCTTTTTAGACCTTGGTTGACCTTGTTCATCGAATCTAGTTCTCTTCATCTCCCTATTCTTTTTCTTAAGTTTGGACTCCTCAATTTGTTGAGCAAACACCATAAGCTTAGAAATATTCAATGTCAACCTGGAAAATTGCCATACGACACTCTTCCTCAACTATGTGGGATACACCCATAACAAATCTACTCATCTCATCCATAGGGTTTGACACTAAAGATGGGGCATACTTAGACAATTGGGTAAATTTCAAAGAGTACTCTTGAACATTCATGCTACCTTGCCTAAGATTGATAAATTCCTCCTCTTTAGCCTCCCTCTTCTCACGGGGGAAGAACCTACGAAAGAATGCTTCCTTGAACACTTCCTAATCTATAGGCCTTGCTCTTAATGGCCTATTACTCTTCCATTGAGTGAACCAAACTTGGGCAACATACTTCAATTGATAAGCGGCTAGTTCCACTTTTTCTATAGAAGTCACCCCCATAGTATTCACTACCTTATACACCTCATCCACAAACTCTTGGGGATTCTCTGCCACATTGGAACCTAGAAACACCAGAGGATTCTTCCTTAAAAAGGCCCTCAACCTAGAAGCCATATTGCTTACAATAGGGTTCACATGTCCCTCAACACCCCTATTGGCTTGGGCCGTCATGGCTTGGACTTTAGTAGTTAGGGCTTGAGCCTTCAT